GGTCTCCACCATCCGGGAGAGGGCCACGCGGAAGTCCCGCAGGAGCCGGATGGTGTAGGAGTCCCCTTCCAGCACCATGAGGTCGCTGTCCACCAGGGAGACCGTCGCCCGCCAGCCGTCGTCTTGGGGGAACAAAGACAGGGGGGCCCCTTAGGAGGAAGCTCTGGGCAGACCCAGGGAGCCCCCCCCCACCTTCCGGCTCAAACACCTCCCCCCCATTCTGCAATCTGGGAGGGGTGTTCTGTGGGACTCTACAATGAGGGGACCGGGGCAGGCAAGCACTTGAAAATCAAAACCTTAGAAGCCTTTTGAGCCAGCAGTTGGTTTCCAGCGTGAGAAGTGGAGAGCATTGTCAGTCCATTAAAAGAAGGCTTTTAGCCAGATAGATAAGAATACTGAAATGCTGCTCCCTAATAGAGAGCTACCAGCCAGCAACGTGAATCAGAAAGCAAATGCCAGCCAATTCAAAGTAGGCCTGTTGCCGCAAAAAAATTATAAACTGGTTGCTACGGCTAGAAATTTAGTAACTGGCTTGCTCCTATTCAAGTACTTGCAATGGAACTGAAAGTAAATGTAACACCTACTCTAGTTAAAAATCGTAACAAAACTATTCCATTCAGCTTCATGTCTTTCTCCGCTCCATATAACTATGCTTTTTTCAGGAGAGTTTGACGAAGAAGACAACAAATAAGAAGCTATGCTGTTTTAAAAAAGAAACTAAGCTGAATCAAGAGGTTGACATCTTCCAACTTTATAAGACGTCTTACTCACGAGGAAGATTGGTGAAATGAGTGTAAAATGATGATTATGTTGGACTTTGCTTTGCCTATGCCTGAATTCTTTTACTATATTGTAAGATTAATAGCTTTACAAATTGACGCTCAAAGAATTATTAAGTGTGTCATTGCGAATTTTACCACAGTGGTTTTTGGTCTGTTGGCATGTATCTGCACACTGTGACCCCTTCTCTGGATTTTTTGACCACTGGAATCATGACAGAGGCGTGGTGAGCGTGGCCGCAAAATGGATGCTGAGGGAGGTGCAGGCGGCCACAAAATGGCTGCCATGGCCACACTTTTAAAGAATATGAAGAGCCCATCAAATCGCCAGTGGCCAATCGGAAGCTTCGCAGGACAAAAGCCCCACCCAGCCCTGCTCACATTTGGTAGGTGCAGGGAAAGGTGTTGGCAAGCAGGCATGATGGGGCCCCCTGTCTTAAAGCCTCCCCTGGTTGTAAATAAAAGCTCTCAAGCTGGTTGGAAGCAGCAGAACAGAGAAGGCGCACCTGCAAGACGAACACAACTGGCGGCCGGGGAGGAGCTTTCGGGAGTCATCTGAGGGCGTGAGCAGAGACTCCCGAAGAAAGCTCCTCCCCTGCCACAAATTTTGCTCGTCTTGCAGGTGAACCTGGATTCTGGCTCTTTCCTACGGCTACAGACAGACTAACACGGCCACCCATCTTGAACGGGTCAAAAGGTTGGACTGATTGAATGAGCAAGCATTAATAGACTGGTATGAACTGCCAACCTAGCAGTACCACTTCGGTGGGAAGGGAACAGCGTTCCGTGCGCCTTGGTGTTTAGTCATGCCAGCCACATGACCACGGAAACGTCTTCGGACAACGCTGGCTCTTCGGCTTGGAAACGGAGATGAGCACCGCAACCCTAGAGTCGGACTCGACTGGCTTTCGAGCAAGGGAACTTTTACCTTTAAATGAAGTTCCAGGCATCAAGCAACTCACTGGCCAAGCGGCCTCTTCCTGGTTGGCCACATTTTTCCAAGAGGGCTGAGGGGGAGTGTCATGGTCTGGGCTCTGCAACCAGAGGCCTAGTAGGCCCACGGAGCCTGAGTGGCCATGGGAGGAGGCCTGGCCTACAATTCCCAGAAGTCCCCGAGAGGCTTTGGCGCCAATTTTAGCCCATCACAGAGAAAGGGGACTCAGAACAAAAGAGGTGGTAGAGAAGGAGAGTTGTTCTTTTCTTCCAAGAGGGCAGGGCCAGAAGGAAGGCTGCTGCAGGGAAGAGACCCTCCTCCCGAGAGGAAGGGTGAGCAGACTCAGGCCCAACTGAGACAGTGAGCTAGGGACTGGGAGTCTAGTCGCGTTAGGGCATTTGGTCTCTTTTCTTTTCACCCCTTTACTGATGTTGTTCTTGCACCTTGTCTGTTTCCCATATTGGGCTGACTGACCTCCTGTAAAAATAAACCTTTTCCTCGTTGTTTACTCTGCCTGGTCCTCACACTTATTTCGACCAAACAAGGGAGGTCTGAAGGTCTTGGGAGGGTCCTCTAAAACCAGAGTGGTGGCAGCGTCAGGTGACACCCCACCTGAGCCGTGACAGGGAGTCTCTCACCTTTCACCCACCCAGGCAGGAAGGACAGTTCCCTGTCTCATCTCAGTCCCATGGCAAGCGCAGACTCGCACCTGCTGCCTGGCTGGGAGAAAGCTGCATTACACCTCCAAGCACCTCTTAGCGAAGGGAAAGGCAGACCCGTTTCCTCCGGGAAGGAAGGGAAAAGCTAGTTTGCTCCGCTGGCCTGAGGGGCAGGGACACAGTCCATCCTTGCAAGCTGGGAACCACGTCCCAACCCAGTGCTGGGGGAGTAAACGCAGCTGCCCTCCCTGGAGGGGAAAGACCAACCTCTCGCCCTTAGACTGGGCTTTGCTGACACTCTGAAGGCAGTGAGAGAGACAGACAGCCAAGAACTGGGGTGCACCCATTCAGGGCTGATGCCAAGGCCAGGGGGCAGTTCCGAGAGATGCCAAGCGGGCACCATGGTTTGCAGTGTTACACAAAAGCTTCCCTGGGCTGCTCAAAGGGAAGGCTGTCTGGAATTCCATGAGAGACAGCATACTGTTGTGCTCAGAGCACTGGGGGAGGGTCTGGTAGCACTGGATCCCCCCCCCATGTCACAGAAGCTCGCTGGGTGGTCTTGGGTCAGTCACACTCAGCTTGAACTACTAGATCAAGATCGGTAGCCATGTTAGTCGGTCTGTAGCAACAGAAAACAGCAAGAGTCCAGTAGCCAGTTTGGTGTAGTGGTTTAAGTGCGCATACTCTAATCTGGGAGAACCAGGTTTAGTTCCCCCACTCCTCCACTTGTAGCTGCTGGATGACCTTGGGCAAGCCATAGTTCTGGCACAGCTGTTCTTGGAAAAAGAGCAATTGCTGTCAGAGCTCTCTCAGCCCCACCTCCCTCACAGGGTGTCTGTTGTGGGGAGGGGAAGGGAAAGGAGATTGTAAGCCGCTCTGAGACTCCGAGTGACGGGTGGGGTATAAATCCAATCTCTTCTGCTAAAGATTAACAAAATCTATGGCAGGCGAGGAGCTTTTGTGTATTACTCACAAAAGTTGCTACCCAGTCACAATTTTTGTTCGTCCTTAAGGGGCTGCTGGACTCTTGCTCATTT